AGAGAGAGAGAGAGTAAGCAGCACATTGAGGCCAAAAATTCTCTTGAAACATATGTTCTCTTTGCATCCTGATTTCTTTGTGCGTGCGCATGATAGATCAGGCATAACAACATTCAAAACTTCATATTTTTCAACATGGTCTTAGAGCCAAGCTATTGAGAATGTAAATTCATCAATTTAAGGTGAATTCTTTCTTCCTAACCTATTGAAATTTTCAAGAATTGATTTCTTCAGAGTGAAAAGTTCTGCGATTAGAACATCATCTTGCATAGTTCTTGAAGTTCTCATAGATAAGAACTATGAAAAGTAGAAGTGTGACTGAAATGCTACTTGACAGGGCAATGCCTATGGGATGCAGACAATGGGGACTGAACTTATACCTAGTCCCAAGATAGACTCGTGGCATGGAAAAAGCAGAATGGAAATATTTTACGTGCAATTTAAATTTCATGTGGATAGAGATATGTTTTCTCATGTGAGAAACGTAGAAACGATGTAACGTAGCTTGGGATCAATTAACCACTATGCACAAACTGGCGAACAACACAAGAAAAAAACTTTTGAGATCAACTAACCACTATGCACAAACTAGAGCAAGGAAAAGTTCATGCAACCTTATGAGAAGGCCGGATATTATGCCAAATATTGTTGGCATAGCCAAGGAAATTATGTTCCTATAGGAAAACAAAAAAGGTAGAAAAGAAGCTAGTGAGGAGAAAATAGAGATGACCCTTTCTGTCTATGATGCAAATGGTAGCAACGAACAAGGATTCATAGATCCAGCATGTTCAAATCATGATTTCTCCACCACCAAAGGAGCTTTAGTTGATATACCAAGAGTCTCCAAAGGGGACAATGCCACTATAGAAGCCGAAGATAGATGGAATATTATATTGAAAGTGCCCAATAGAAATATCAATCACCTTTCAATGTTCTATGTGTTCCAAAACTTAGAAAAAAATTTACGCTTGTGGGCCAGTTGGTAGATCAATGCTTTCATGTTATTTTTGGTGAAAGAGGCTGTGAAATCTTGTCAAAGGAAAATGGAAGGATTGTTTTGTGTTGAAAAAATGTGTCTCGTTTATTTGCAATTAGCATGGATTTGTCCTCTATTAAGAAGAGTTCCTCCGTTGATATTGCAGATTTATGGCATAAGAGAGTGGGCATTGCAATCTTCATAGGCAAACAGGTATTAAATGGAAGATGCTATTCACTAGAGATGCTAACATGTGGCGGGATGTGGCAACAAAATAAAACTAGTGAATGGAAGAATCGGCAAATTGTGGAAGTCGCTTATGCAATGATGACTAGAAACAACTTGCTAAAAGTATATTGGACTTGTAAAAGGTATATTGAGCCGAGGCAATACAAATTGCAGTGTACTTGATCTATCAGATGTGTTCGAGACATGGAATCTAGGTGCCATATTAGTTTCTATAATAAGAAACCATGTATCACTCATTTGTTTGTTTTTGGGTATATAATCTATGTGAAGTGTGATAATGAGGAGCATAACAAACTTGATGACAAAGGTATAAATTTTATCTTCCTGGGGTATTAATAAGAAAGAAAATCATATTGACGCATGCATTCAATAACCCACTGTCACCTATGAAAGTAGAGGTGAAATTTGATGAGCAGGAACGATGCATCAAGTTATATAATAAGTTGAAGAAGAAGAAGAGTGTTCGATAAGGATGTTATTCCCTTAAGTTCCTAGACTCAAGAATAGATCAAGCACTATCCATATAGGTAGAGGTGCCCAATTGAATAATTCAATGAATATTATATTTTTTTGGTTAAGTCAATGAATATTATGTTTATAATATGCATTATGCATACATGATGCATGTCATACATGAGCATGAGCCAAAGAGTTTTGAACAAGCAAAATACAATAGTAAGAGATGAGTGCACTTTCCAAGAACCAATCATGCGATTTTGTCCCCCTTCTAGATGTTAAGAAAGTTATTGATTGCAATTGTATTTATAAACTAAACCATAAACCCAATGGTCAAATTGAGTGTCATAAGGCATGGTTGGTGGCTAAAGGATTTTCTCACACTCATAGGGAGGACTATGAGGAGACATTTAACCTAGTTGCAAAGATTACAAGTGTTCATGTAATCAACACTTTGATTACAATGAAAGGTTGGAAGATCCATTAGATGAATGTGAAAGTGTTTTCTTAAATTGAGAATTTGAAAAAGTGGTGTATATGCATCGGCTCAAGGGATATGATGATCCCATGAAGCCTCGATATCTGTGCAAGTTCAAGGAGGCATCATATGGCTTGAAACAAGTACCTAGAGCTAGGTTTGACAGGGTGAGAGAGTTGTTTACTTAGTGGTTTTGTTCTTTCTACAGTGAATTACAACATATTCATCAATCATTGTATTAGAAGAACATTTATTTGTGCGGTTTATGTCGATTATCTAATCATTATAGGCTGCAACCACATTGAAGCTCAAAGAATCAAGGATTCTCCTAAAGATTTGAAATGAAAGATTTGGGAGAACTTCAATATTTTCTTGGGATTGAAGTTGTTCGAGATGAACAAAGCATTTTAATCATGCAAAGAAGGTTGGATGCATCTACTTGCAAAATTCTGTTGATGAGTTCAAGGCCCTTTACAACACCACTTGATATGAACCACAAGCAGTCAAAGAATTATGGGATCTCATAGAAGATGTCAGACCGTACATACCGATGGCAGATAGCCTGATTTACTCAACCATAACTTGGCCATACTTAACATATCTAGTTGGAATCCTGAGTTAGTTCATGCAAGATCCAAGGAAACCGCACATGGATGCAGTGAATACTGAGATATGTGTAGATAACCATCAATGGAGGTATGAGTTTTTAGCATGGAATTCCTAGAAAGCCAACAATCACTGTGATGCCTATTGGCTGGAGACTTGCTCATTCGTAACTCGATGTCTAGATACTATTTCAATTTTGGTCACGGACGTTTATCATGGGCAAGCAAGAAACAACCTACAATAGCATTGTCGTGCACATGAGTTGAATATAGAACAGCCATGATGGCTCATGAGAAACTGCATGGTTGACCTAATTACTCAAGTAGTTTCAAGAGTTTGTGGATTACAATGTCCCAATTTCAATCAGTTGAATCATGCTTGTGTCATATCCAATCTTCATTGCATGTATCATGTATGAAGCACATCGAGGTGCACCATCACTTTGTTTTTGAGAAGGTGTTGAGTGAGGGGGTTGAATTGATATATATATATATATATATATATATATAATATAATATAATACAAACCAATGAATAAGTGGCTTATATTTTCACGAAGTACTGAATCAAGAGAAGACAACGATATTCAAGCAAGCCCTAGGTATGAAAGATACTTGAATGACTTAGCAATGAAGGTGTTAAATTTACATTGCCAAGCAGTTAAAGATTAGCATCGCTATGTAAAACTTATCTCGTTAGTTAAAAGTTCTATTCTGTTTGAGATAAAGTCCGTAGATAGAGTTTGATATTCAATTTGATCAATTTTATCG